AAGTGTGCCTGCGATTTGCATCGAGTGACGGAGATTGCGAGTAAGCTGAAGGATGTCTCGCTGGATACGCCCAAGACTGGACGGGCGGTAGCTGGTGGCCGTGAACGGTTCCTGGGAAAAGCACTTGATGCGAACCTCCTTCCATATCACCATGGCAATACAGGAAGTATCACAACAAAAGTAATTGTTATTAGATATTTTGCAAACAGTGACAGATAGCGGGCATGAAGAACCAGTGGAGGTGCCGGGCAAAGGTGTTTATCCTAGACAAATGGTAAGCTACAAATTCTCTGTTGTCGTTGTCGTAGGCGCCGTCGTAGTCGTAGGCAGTACCGTTGGTATATTTAAAATTAAACATCAACCGCTGAAAATATGAATTATCGCGTATTTCTGTTGTTCATTACAATCCAAGTGAAATTCGATAACGTAATTTCATTTGAATAGCTTGTTTAACCAGGTCTTAAACAATCGTCCCGTCGGTCATAACTTGTTATGATTATCTGAACCATGCGTAAAGAGAAAATCGAAACATTGAACGTCGCGTGAAAGTGGATATTAATGAAGTCTAAGTACTCTTTCATAGCTTTTAGTTTTAGGATTTCAAAGATCGTCGGTTGCAGTGGCTTGCTTACCGGGGAGAAAGACGCGGTCCCAGATCCTTTCATATTAAAATTATTAAAATATCGCTTGTTTATCGTGTGTTTGAGCAGGTCGAGGCTCACCTAGGTCTTGGTCATGCGGGAACCACAGCACTATCGGGAAACGTAGGCGCAGGGACAATCACCAGAGAAATGCACTACACAATGATGTTGTCATTAACAGACGCAATATATTTACTATCGTATGCATCGGTGGCTAGCGATAAACTGATTGTGAGTGGTCACCGGCTGATGGTCAACACCCGATCTACTGCAGAGAGTGGGACAATGAGAGTGTGAGAAAGTCTCCACTCGTTATCAGAAGAGGCATCAGTCCCTAATCTATAATAAAACTAACACCACGCTACAACATCGCCCCCCCCCCCTTTGAAATTTACGAATTTCAAATCAAAACAAAAAATCAGTAATTCTAATCAAATTCATATTACTTCTTCAATCCAATTCATTCTTCGACTCTACATCCCTAAATATGCTACACACAGTTGCTGTCTGCTAGTCTAATCCTATTTCATTCAGTGACGATCGTGGTCTTCGCTGGTCCGTTGGCAGCAATCGTCATTCAAGGGCTCGTTTTGCTATCCCAAGCTTTCAGCGTTCGTTGGTTCCGATGGCAGCAGACAAATCTTCGTGGTTGGACGTTTGAAACTGCCCTTAGATGTGCGTACGGTGACTACTCGCACTAGACCATCTGCTCCAGGATGAACAGCTTCAATTCGGGCGAGAGGCCAACGGGTTGGGTGTTGAAACTCTTCTACGACAATAACGAGTCGGCCGGGCTGGATTTCGCTATTCGGCTGACATTTGGTTGTGTCACGTTGGAGTTCCTGGAGATATTCCGTTCTCCAGTGGTGCCAAAATTGTTGGAACAACTGCTGCAGTCGTTGGTAGTGATCCAGACGAGTGATGTGGACGTTGCTAACATCAGGATCGGGTACAGCCAGCATGCTCGTGCCGATCAGGAAATGAGCCGGTGTTATGACAGTGTAGTCCTCCGGATCCTCTGTCATCGGAACGAGGGGACGGGAGTTCATAGCTGCTTCTATTTCTGCCAGTACCGTTGACATATCCTCGTATGAAAGACGTGAATTGCCTAGTTGGCGGTAAAGCTGCGACTTTGCTACCTTAACGGCAGCTTCCCAGGTGTGCTGCTTTCGGTGGGTTCAGATGCCAAGTATTTGTTCTTCCGCGCACAAACTCTGTATTTTCTCGACTTCCTTGTGATCAGTCAACCTGCCATACAAGAGGTGTAGTTCGTTCCTGGCACCAATAAAGTTTTTGCCATTGTCCGAGTGTAAGTGGGTAGGACGGCCGCGCCGGGCAACAAATCGGCGGAGAGCGGTGAGGAAAGCCGGTGTCGAAAGGTCACTCACCAGTTCCAAGTGAACTGCTTTCGTAGTAAAGCAAACGAACAGGGAGATGTACGCTTTTGTCGGTGAGGCTCGTTTGTGTATCGCTTTAAGATAAACGGACCCAGCGTAATCCACTCCTGTCACGGCGAAAGGTCAGCCTGGGGTGATCCTGGTAGATGGAAGTTGGCTGATCTGCTGACGAACCGGTACGGGATTTGCTCGGGTACATTTTACGCAGTTGCGGATTATATTGCGTACCAGTCGCCTTCCATTGACGGGCCAAAACTCCTCTCGCATTACAGCCAGTGTCAAGCGGCCGCCACCATGAATGAGTTTGTTATGAAAGGATATTGCTATAAGCTTAGCGAGGGGATGGAAACTGGGAAGCAAGGCTGGATGTTTGGATTCGTAAGACCGTTCTGCCAATCTAAGTCGCCCTCCCACCCTCAACACACCTTGATTGTCTAGAAATGGGTTCAAAAGCCGGACGGAAGACTGCCTTTTCAGTGGACGTTTCTGCTGGAGATCTCGAAACTCCTCTTGGAAACAGTCTGCCTGGGCGAGGCAAACTAGTTTGGTTTTGGCATGCGAAAGCTGCTCGACGGTTAGTGACATGCTAGTGTTGAGACCAATGAAAATGACAGGACGTGTTCTAGCTTTTGAACGTGCGTTGTAAGCAAATCTCATGCAATATGCTACTATGCTGGTCAAGCGAGAAAGTTGAGAGTAAAGGGTGTCCACGATGAAATTGCCACACTATGAAATTACTCTAACTTTTTAACCGTTGGGTAGAATTTAATGAAAATTTGGGTGGATTTAGTTCATAGTGCATTATTTACATCCTGCAAGTTTTAAAGTCCTGTGATCAAAACTCGCGGAAATGGAGTCGAAAGAACAGCTCGTGCGTGATAAAATCTTGCGCATTCATCACGAGAACAAGGATCTCTCGCATCGTTCCATCGCTAAAACGTTGGGAATCGCGAATTCCACGGTGTCGCGAGTGATTAAGCGGTTCGAGGAACGGTTGACCACCGATCGGAAGCCCAGAAGTGAAGGAAAAAGTATTCCGTACAACACCAAAAATCACAACCGCGTAGTTGGGGCCTTCAACCGAAATCCGAACGCCTCCGTTAGGGATGTGGCTAAGAAGCTGCACCTAAGCCGAAGTTTTGTCCAGAAGGCCAAAACTAAGGCTGGGCTTCGAACGTTCAAGGTACAAAAGGCCCCTAATCGCGACGAGAAGCAGAACAAGTCCGCCAAAACCCGTGCCAGGAAGTTGTACCTCAACATGCTGACGAAAGTTGAATGCTGCATCATGGACGACGAAACATATGTGAAGGCCGACTTCAAACAGATCCCCGGCAACCTGTTTTTCACGGCCAAGGATAAGTTCAGCGTTCCGGAGCATGTCCGCACTCAGAAGATGTCCAAATTTGCGAAGAAATTCCTGGTTTGGCAAGCTATATGCACGTGCGGGAAGCGGAGTGCACCTTTCGTGACCCAGGACACGATGAACGGACAGGTGTACATAAAAGAGTGCCTCCAGAAGCGGCTGCTTCCTCTCCTGAAGACCCACAACGTCCCAACAATCTTCTGGCCGGATTTGGCCTCATGCCACTACTCCAAGGACGTGCTGAAGTGGTATGCGGACAATAAGGTCAATTTCGTGCCGAAAATGTTCAACCCTCCCAACACTCCGGAGCTCCGCCCCATCGAGAAGTACTGGGCGATTATGAAGCAGCACCTTCTTAAACGACCTAAGGTAGTGAAGACAGTCGAGGAACTGAAGAAAGTATGGGTTTACATGCAAAAAACGGTTGATTCACAGGTTGTGCAGAATCTTATGGCCGGGGTTAAGGCCAAGGTGCGGGCATTTGCGTATGGACTGTAAATAAAATACGAGTAAAATGGTAAAATGAAGTTAAATAGTTATTTCTCAATCCCTGAAAATTTGATGGCAATCGGATGAAAACTCGAATTTTGCGAATCAATTTTGTGTGTGGCAATTTCATCGTGGACACCCTTTAGAGAGAAAAAATCGGGTTGTACTTGTGGTCAGTTCTGGCTACAGCAGTAATTACAATCTTGCGCTCATTATTTGCTTCCGATGTGTCACTCTGCTTGGAAATCGGCCAATTATCTTCAGGACAGGACAGCCAGACCGGTCCTCTCTTCCAGTGCGCACTGTGTAGAAAATCTTCAACCTGCATTCCACGGGACAGCAAATCCGCGGGGTTTTGAGAACCTGCTACATGGTTCCATCGTGCGCCGTGCGTGGTTGTTTGAATTTCTGACACTCTATTTGCAACAAATGTCTTCCATGTACTTGGAGGGGATTGCAGCCATTGCAGCGTCACCAAAGAATCGGACCAGAAGAAGGAGCCAGTGATGTTCATGTCCAAAGCTTAGATGATTCGGCTATGTGTTGAGCTGCGATCACTGCTGCACACAATTCGAGTTTAGGAATAGACAACCTTTTAAGGGGTGCCACACGGGTTTTTGCAGCCAGCAACTCGATTCTTTCATTGCCTTCTGAGTCCACAGATCGTGCGTAAGTGCAAGCCCCGTAAGCCCCTTCTGATGCATCTGCAAATGTGCGGAGTTGAACTTCGGAGTTCGGCTGGAATGCGTAGCGATCAATCCGAAAGCCGGATAGTTTTGGAAGTTCATGGTAGAATGCATCCCACTTCTGTTTCAGAGTTTCCGGTATTTCATCATCCCAGGAACAAGCTGTCAACCAGAGCTCCTGCATTAGCATTTTTCCCCGTACGACTATAGGTGCCACTAAACCCAACGGGTCAAATAGCTGTGCTATTGCTGAAAGGATGGATCGCTTAGTTGCTCGAACAACATTTTGGTTCACATGATAATTGAACAGGAATTGGTCCCGTTCCGGTTCCCAGCAGATGCCTAGGGTCTTAACGGTCTCGTCTGATTTGAACTGGATACTAGATTGGATTCCTATGCGATCAGCTTCCAAACCTTCGAGAACTCACAGCTTGTTTGATGTCCATTTGCGTATAGAAAATCCTCCCTTTGCTAGAAGCTCCGTCAATTCGTTGCGCAACTGGATCGCCTCAGGAACGGAATCGGCTCCTCCTATAAAGTCGTCGACGTAGAACGATTTTTGCAGAGCGATTTTACCAAGTGGATAGGAATGCCCTTCATCGTTCGCGAGTTGTTGAAGGGTGCGCGTTGCCAAGAAAGATGAGGGAGCAAGGCCATATGTGAACGTAAGAAGTTCATATATAGATAGATGGTAGGAAGAACTGAAACGCCAGATGATTCTTTGGAGCAGAGCGTCGTCGGGGTGAATGAGTACCTGGCGGTACATTTTCGCAATGTCCGCAATGACCGCGACAATAAATTTTCGGAAGCGGATCACCAGGGTCAGAAGGTCGTCCTGTATGACCGGTCCTACACACAGTGCGTCATTTAAAGAGAACCCAGAAGTTGTCTTGCTGGAACCGTCAAATACGACGCGGGTCTTAGTAGTCGTGCTGGCTTCTTTTATGATCGGATGGTGTGGAAGGTAGTAGGCCGGAACGTCAGAGGGCTCGTTTCCTTGGACAAGACGCATGTGTCCCAGAGATAAATACTCCTCCATGAAGCTATCGTAATTCGTCTTCAACTCAGGTTTGCTGGCGAAACGTCCTTCCAGCATGGTGAACCGCCGAAGAGCTGTTGGTTTGGATTCACCTATCATGGCACTAAATTGTTCACGCTTGGGGTAACGCGGTTCTGGAAACCGTGGATGCGTAGTAGTTTTCACAAAATTTCTCTTCCATGGAAACAGCAGATCTGGTAGAAAGTTCTTCAACCTTCCAAAATCTCTCCATGCTTTCCTCGAGCGAAGTGGTGGAAACGGTAACGGTCTTGCAGCACACGGAATCCTTGGATGCGGGGACTAGATGTTCACCACCTGCAACGATCCAACCAAACTCGCTATCAACAAGAATGGGAAGAGTCTTCGACAACTGAATTCTGGCAGAGGTTGGGAAGAAGTCAAAGAAATGATGCGATACCAGTATCAGGTCAACGTCTCCGGAGCGATTGAAGCCTGGATCAGCGAGGAAAATGTCTTAAGGGAGTTTCCAGTGGTCTACTGACACAGTACTGGCGGGAAGACTGGACGTCATTTTGCGAAGGATCAAAAATGACACATTGCGGGCAAAGTTTCCCTTTCGTGAACGTATTTCGGTAGCTACGGACTCGGTGGCGTACTCTGGTTTCACTCCAATACCTTGCACTTCAACGTTGGATTTCTGGCGTTTCAACCGCAGCAATAGAGCCAAACGATCCGTCATCAAATTTGGCTGGGAACCACTGTCAAGCAGAGCATGTGCGTAATGCTCCTTGCCATACACGTCCACGATTCGAAGGACAGCAGTTAGCATGAAAACGGTAGGAACAGGATCTCGGGTAACGTTGACGCACTGAACATCATCCGGTTTGGTAATTGCAGAAGCAGATTGAACTCGGCGCTGGTCGTTGGACTGGGAGCTACTGGACGGTGTTGCAGAGCTGAAATTTGCGTTTAATGTGTTGGCTGCAGATTCTTGGCTGGATTGACTTGAACTCCTCGTGAATCCGGAATGCAGGAGAGAATGGTGTCGCTTTCTACACACTCGACATGTGTAGTTAGATGTGCAATCACGGGCGAAGTGATCTTGCCGGAAACAATTCACACAAAGGCGCTTCGAATTCACTACGCGCAATTTCTCGGATACAGCCTTTGCCATGAACCGAGGGCATTTCACCAGAGGATGACGGTTATCACAAGCATGGCATTTGGGTGAAAAGCTTTCTGTAACAGAATGAGAAGACATCTTGGCGAAAGTTGGCTTGCGGAAATAGTTCCCGTTGTGTTGCGGAGTAGCTACCGGCTGATTTCCATGATGATTTACCGATATCGATTCAAGCACACGAACCCGTTTCTCCAAAAATTCAACTAAGCAGGAGTAGCTCTGATCATCAACAGATGCTGCGTGATCCTCCCAGGCTTTAATCGTCGCATCGTGAAGTCTTATGCACAATAGATGCTCCAGCAATGTGCTCCATGCGTCTGTTGGCTCGCCTAGCTGCTGTAGAATCTTGATATGACGCTGAAATTCATCCAGAGTTGAATGCAATGCCGATGCTGTCTCCTTTTTCATTCGTGGAACGTCCATTAGATCCTGCAGGTGGCGCTTTTTCAACAAATATTCGTTAGAATAACGGCTAATTAACGAATCCCACGCCAGAGGGTAGTTTGCAGCACTAATTGCAATTGCTTCGATCAGTTGCGCGGCTTCTCCTTTAAGGGCCGAATTTTTGTATCACTGGCAACTCGTCATTGTCGTGGATGAGGGCTTGAAACGTGTCGTGGAACGTTAGCCACTGACGGTAATCACCATCAAATACTGGGAGTGAAATTGTAGGCAACTTCAGGCTAGACAAGGTGGAAGGTATGCGATAGGGGGATTCATGAGGGCGACTTGTGTGTGGAAGGATTGGCGGAGGCAGTTTAGCTTTCAGATTTGCTTTTATTCTGAAAAGCTGTGGTTCAAACGAAGCACGGAACTCAAGATTTGCGGTCTTACCCTTACTGGTTGTCTCCAGGTCTTCAAGAGTTTCTAGCACCTCTGCGAGCGATGCCCACAACACGTCCAGGTTTTCCAGGCGGAGTGGTACCTCGAGCTCATCCCGTTCGGCGTCAAATTGAGCAACAAATTGTTCTGCACGATTTAGCTGCGCCAATAGTGTCGTTCTTCGGGTGGACAGCTGCTCCAATCGCTTAGAGTTTTCATCGTTGGGCATCTTGTCGGGTGGATCGATAGTCGATGACGCAAGAAAACAGCAATAGTAAATCGGAAAGTGCCTGGCAAACAAAAAGACCCGGTAGACCTGGATGCCACCAAATAAGTCAAGGATATTCAAGCCTTGTATTTTCAAAAGCAGGAACTCAGGAACTATCGAAGCGATGTAAGTCGGGGGCGTGTAGCGTGTACCGGCTACCACCAAGCGAGATTACGTTCAAGGTACGGGTCGACGTGCACCGCCGAGGGATCCCAGAATCGAGTGCGACGATTGCTGGGTAATATATGTACGTATAGTGTGATCGTCTAGTATGGTCCATTTGTACCTATCTAAAATAGGCCTTGTATGAACGTAGTAGTTGCAATTGGGATCAGGAACAATGGCGTTTAAAAGCATGCGGTCGACATCTAAACAATGCCCATATAAACTGGCGTCTAGCGAGAATCACAATGGCGTTTATCTCGTACGATAGCGTGTGATCCGTGTAGGGTGTGATGGCTGCTAGGTCACAACTCTCACAAGAGGATGGGATGGATGCAATGGTGCTGACCTCGATCCTGGTCACGGCACCAGAAAATGTTTGAGCAGGTCGAGGCTCACCTAGGTCTTGGTCATGCGGGAACCACAGCACTATCGGGAAACGTAGGCGCAGGGAATGCACTACACAATGCTGTTGTCATTAACAGACGCAATATATTTACTATCGTATGCATCGGTGGCTAGCGATAAACTGATTGTGAGTGGTCACCGGCTGATGGTCAACATCCGATCTACTGCAGAGAGTGGGACAATGAGAGTGTGAGAAAGTCTCCACTCGTTATCAGAAGAGGCATCAGTTCCTAATCTATAATAAAACTAACACCACACTACAACATCGTGTATTTTGTAAAACTTTTCGTTGTCGTCGGTGCCGGGTTTGAATAGTTATAAAAACTTGAGTAACGCTATAATGTGATATGAGAGGCTCGGTGGCCTTAGAGCAACCATTTTTGCTCCTCGGAGAGGACTCTTCGGCTTCCATCAAAGCGAGTGTCACGTCAACACATTCCTACCCATTCCTTTCTTGACCTGCGTTCAGGCGCGGCTGGCGCTGGTATTGCCTAATTCGAGATCACCAGTTTTTACACATTGAGGATGATTGCTAGTCCCAAGGATCGTCTATTGGTTCTCTGTGTAATTACAGCTGGTCTAGCAATAACAGAGTAGCAACCGTGGGCGGTCAATCATGCTCATGCTCATGCTCAAGATTTCAACTGTAATACTGACATGCACGTTTAAAAAAACCGGTTTAAAATACTGAATTGCCATGACAGGAACAATATAAAAACACTTAGATATATAGTTATGTACGGACCTGGCCACCACTCCTAGCAACCCAAACCCGATCCAACAGAGACACCCAGTATCAACCAACAAGAAGCTGACGCAGCACAGCACATCCGGCCGTTTACCTGATCCATCACACCAGCTACCCACGAGGCGCAAACCAGCGGGCCTCGAGGCACCAGACGACGAGTCAGCAGTCATCGAGCACCTATGGCCAGCACGTGGATATGTGGTCTTGCTTAGATAGCACATTATAGTTAGGACCTTACGAGGTAGTTAGGTTCAGTAGGCAGTCAGGGAATTTCAGTCTTAATTCAATCGTGTAACAGTGAACTTCGCGAATAAATCTGTCCTCTAGGACTAAGTTAATCTTTTTTAAAAAGTGACTTATATGAAACCATCCATAATTATATATCATAACAATCAAGGTTGGTAAGTTACTGTAGTAACTGGAGCACCTAGGTTAACATGATATGTAATTTATTTTGAATTTGGAACAAATAAAGAGTTAAAAAAAAATGCTGGGCTTCGTCAAGCGGTTCAGCTATAATTTTCAAAACCCATGCACTATTAAATTATTATACATTACATACGTAAGACCTATTCTGCAATACTGCCACCTAGTATGGAATGCGTAAATTGCTATACACGAGGAACGCATAGAATCCGCCCAAAAACAATTCCTTTTATAGGGGGTTTGACCTAATTTCCGTCCTACTTAGAACAACCCACGCTTTACCTCTCTTTCTTCAACGGGTTTTAACAATAAATGAAATGTTTCTATCCTATCAAAGATGACTTTCCATAAGTACCGTTGAATTTGATAAAGAGTCACACATTGTTGAGATATTGTTAAAAATCTAACACTGCTTCTTGATTCAAAATTCGTCGTACGAGTTTCAATTCTTTCCAAACGCATTGAAACGCCATTGGATTTTCTTCATCCTACGGATGAAGGTAGAAAAAGTGAGTTCGCTTCTTTTGTTTTGAGAACAATGAGTGTAAATATTCACACAATTCGCTCTAATAGGCTTTGTGTTGAAGCTTGTGAACTAAAGCATCGGTACAAACGTATTTACCTACCTACTGATTTGTACACGGGTGAAGTCATTGATTATACTGATGGACTACTCCATTATACTGAAATGGACGATTACGACGAAGTAGCGCTCTACCCTATGTCCTTCGCAAATCGAATTGGACCGCATTTCCTCTTCCATCATAATATGAAGCACGCTGCATGCTCATTAGGGTGACCCAAAATAACACATTGTCTGGAAACCTGGGACTCGAACTGGGGCTCACCCTCCAAAAGATATCAATGGATGTTACAAAAAAACTATTGTATAGTGGCAACTCAAAAAAAGTAAACTAGAAATAGCCCCGGGGAGAGTTAAAAAAAAATTGCTGAACAAATATTTCTAATGCATAGAAATCAGTGAAAGTCAACCATTTTTTAATGTTTACACATTCTTTGGGGTCCCTACAATATGAGAAAAAATTGGCATGACCTGCTACATGCTTCATTTTCTCATGACATCTTTTTTCCAATTCTCAGAAATCACGACATTTTCATTGACA